GCTCGATGTCAGCCCTATTCTCTCGACTTGCAACAGACGTCGACCAGCCACTTCATGGATGAACCACATACGCTATCAACAATCTCGCGAGAAGGTAGACTCAAAAGATCTCGACCATGTGGACCATACCCACCGCGTTCTCCAGAAGACTTGCTGTTTCCAAGATAGTGTACCGATCCATGGACAGCTGATCAACGCGTATGTGCTTATGGAGCGGTGGAGATGCCTGCTGCGCTAGACCTCGGTGCTCACTTGCCATCCACATCTCTTCTGCAGCTACGAGCAGAGTCCAAGCATTCTTCAGGTCAGAGAAAGGGCCTGAGTGCCATGGGTGAGGGGTTTTCATCACCGTTCGCCGCCATGGCTCGGTCAACGCGATCCAAGGCAGACATCAGACACCGAGCCATGGCAAAGGGAGTTAGTCCCTTTACACACGAAGAACTTCCCGTCACATCTTTCCTTGGCTCTCCTTATTTCGCCCTCTTCCCCGCTGTTCTTAGTTGCTTTTTTGGTTCTTTATTGATTTAAGTTCTGTATATTCCCTTTGAGGAGGTTATCATAATATACTGGTGCAGCTCCACACCATCCCAGAGTGCCTCGCTCACTCGTTGATATATCGCCATGAACCCCCGTGATGCGGCGTCAGATGCGGCAGCAACTGCGGCCATCGAAGCTTTTCGCCAGCTGACAATCGAGATATGGACCCTCTATGCGGTTGGAGTGATGTCCACGATATTGAGGACGTACGCTCGCATTCGGGCTGTCGGGATCCGAAACCTTCGAGCTGACGACTACTTAATGTGGCTCGCCATTGTTCGTCGGCCCCTTTTCTCTTAGACAGCACGATGATGATTATCATTAGAAGTTGCCTGTCATATTATTGGGCGATCACTAACCGAGTTTGACTTTGCAGCTTTTCTACACAGTACAGTCGTCTCTAGGGTACAGCATTGGTCATGCCGCAAATGGCCTCGCGAACAACAGCATGACGGATGCAGAACGCATGGCACTGAGCTCCTCAGATCCGGAGTTTCAACTAAGGTAAACATGTACTCGGGACAGTCAAGTTTCTTCCCTTGCCCTTTAGCTAACATCGACGTTAGAGTTCTCGGGTCAAAGATTCAAGTTGCTGGCTGGACAATCTATTCCACCTTGATCACTGTGCTCAAGCTTTCCATGCTGGCATTTTATATTCGACTTATGGTAAAATATGCATGATAGCCACAAGGTGCCACGTTTTTATATTAACATGATGTAGGAAGGACTGGGACGATCGTACCAGATTCGAATCTGGGTTGGCTTCGCCATCGTTCTTAGCAGCTATCTCGCCGTCATGATTTCCATTTTCGCCGGTTGTCGACCCTTCAATAGATATTGGCAGATTCACCCTGACCCTGGAAGTAGGTTTTCCCTTGATCATTTACATAAATCATACAGCATAGCGTCTCATATATGAATCGTCTGTGCTAACTGGCCGTCCCAAGACGTCTGCCAAGCTGCCGTATCTCGACCGATCGTCTGGTCCGGGTTTGCCGCCAACGTTGTCACTGACATCTACCTCATCTGCATTCCTCTCCCGATGCTTTGGAGCTCTACTCTGCGGATGGTCAAGAAAATTGCTTCGACAATTGTCTTGGGCGCGGGGATATTCGTTCTCGTCTGCGCCACCCTGAAGAGTGTCTTCGTCTTAGTGGTAAGTCGAATATCGCGTCTCCAGCTAATAGCCTGCCTGTCTGTTAACGTCAGGATTTTAAGGATCCCGTCAACGGGCCTCAGCTCGCAGGTTCATGGGGTATCAGAGAAGCGTTCACGGCCGTCATGACAACAAACCTGCCCATGATCTTCCCACTCTTCAAGACATGGCTCCGTCCTTGGTTCGAGAGCGCCCTTCGCTCCTCGGACAAGGCATACAACTACAGAACCCCAAACGGATTCCAGACAATCGGCGGCGGTGGCGGTCCCGGTGGCAGCAAACCATTCAGCAGGAACAATCGCAGTGGGCCAGCGAGCGAAACCCACATCACCGCCAACATGACATTCAACGGTAGCGAGGAACAGATTATTGATGACGTGAAGATGCAGAGCTTCAAGGTTACAACAGGGCCTATTTCGGACTCGGATGACCATGGAAAGCCCAAGTCTGGTATAACCATTTCAAATCAGGTCGAGGTCACGACAGAGGAGCGAGGGGGCCAGCCGCAGAACCCAGCAAGAGTCCACGAATCGTGGTAGATGCGGCACCTGAGACGAACTCATGGCCATAGTAATGACACAAAACCTAGCCTGACACTCTTCCTTGCTTCCATGCACGTTTCCATGCCAAAAAGAGCCTACTGGGTAATCTACCTTCGTCATCGGGGGATTCCTTCTTCCAAATCAGAGCAATTCAACGTGTAATGAAGGCGGCCTCCCAAGAGCCAAGAGCCAAGACTAACTCTTGACTGACACACGGCCCGTGAAAGCGTAAGGATTATTGTGCCATATTGATGGCGTGCCCAGGACTGACGATGGTCAAAGACCCATCAAGTCTTCCTTAACTAACCAAGCTGACATATATGCCAATAGATCGGCGATATTGGCATCCTTGAAGGGAACATCGACAGTCCAGGAGTCTCCAATAGCGATACGCTCGTCGGTACCTGGGTAGAAGCCAGGAGACGACAAGCCTCCAGGGTGCATCCCGGTGCTGAGCGAATAAAGCATGGCGATTCTCAAGGAATCTGGTTACAGATCCACGCGGCGGCGAGTGTTTCTCGGGCATCAGAAACGAAATCTTCGGAATGAATTGGTCCACGTTGCGACGACATCCGTGAATCTGGAAGCACGGAGCTGGTGCTTCCGCCCTACGTTTCGCCCTTGTTCCATTAATGCCAGCCCCTTGTTCCAGAACCCTGGTTCGTTCCCGCACAGCTTGAGCCAATCTACATTCGCCGGAGCTTCTCGAGGACCCAAATCTAGATGAGATCTACGTGCAACCCACCACCAAAGTGGTCTCGCTGTACGTAAACAGGGTTGCACGTTGTTGCGTTTGCTCAGCCGCCTGACACCTGCGTCTCGTCCAAGAAATCACATCACCTGTTTCGTGCCATCGAGGGACTTATCGGCATCATCACCATCGTAATCATCACTTTTGAGCTGGAAGTACAAGCTTTAGCAATTTTCGTTACCTTGAGTAGCTGGTCTCTTTCAACAGCTCACAACAGCGCATTTCGCATGAAATGCTGACTCAAGGAATATTTAGGGGATCCTTGCACCTCTGAAACAGGAACAGACACTCAAAAGCTCCGTGGGCAAGGTAAATCAGACTTAAATCCATATAAACATGTAGGGTTGCATCTTGAACCCTGTTAGCTCCCGGGTTTACGGGAAATACCCCGTTTCTCGCATCCAATCCAGAGCTCACCAAAGGCGCTTCCATGGATTACGCAACTAGGAGACATGCGATTCACTTCGCCTTGATTGGGTTTGGTGGAGACAAGGTTGGAAAGACTGAGACTGCCATGCACATACTCCTGCAATGACTTGAAAGGGGGTGTGATCGCATCGACGTGAGCCGTTCTATAAAGAGCAGACGACGAACCGCCCTCGATCCAACTTTCTCTCCCCTTCAAGCCATCCGAGCCTTCCAAGTCTATTCCATTCACTTCTCAACCCCTTCTTTGCAACCTTCAGACTCTCCTTTGACAGGAAGAACACAACCCCCATTCATCACCATGCTCCCCGTTGCTCTCTCCGTTCTTGGCCTGGCCGCTGCCGTCAACGCCCACGGCCACGTCGCTACTGTCGTCGCCGGCGGCAAGGAATACACCGGTGGTCTCCCCTGGAGCGCTCCCGCTGACGCTGTTGGCTGGGCCGCTGCCAACCAGGACAACGGCTTCGTTGCCCCCGACGCCTTCTCCAGCGCCGACATCATCTGCCACAAGTCTGCCACCCCCGTCTCCGGCTATGCCACCGTTGCCGCTGGTTCAAGCATTTCACTGGTCTGGAACACCTGGCCAGAGAGCCACCACGGCCCCGTCATCGACTACATCGCCCCCGTCTCTGGCGACTTCGCCTCCGTCCAGAAGGCCTCCCTCCAGTGGGTGAAGATCTCCGAGAAGGGTCTCGTCTCGGGCTCCAACCCAGGCACCTGGGCCTCTGACGAGCTCATCGCCAACGGCAACACCTGGACCGTCACCATCCCCTCCAAGCTCGCCCCTGGCAAGTACGTCCTGCGCCACGAGATCATTGCTCTCCACTCCGCCGGCCAGTCCAACGGCGCCCAGGCCTACCCCCAGTGCATCAACATCGAGGTCACCGGCAGCGGCTCGTCCTCCCCATCCGGCGGTGCTGCCTTCACCACCTTCTACACCCCTACTGACCCCGGTATCCTGTTCAACCTCTACGAGTCCTTCACCTCCTACGACATCCCCGGACCCAACGTCTGGGCTTAAGGGGCATCCAATCTCGATAGTGGCAGGGCAGCGAATGTACCAAGGGCTTCTGCGAAGTCTCTGAATTGGGTACTACAACGCGCGCGCGCATGAATCGTATGAAAGGGAGCTGGCCTGGCCTGGCTTGGCCTGGTGCTGGCCGGTCGGATATTCACTGTAACATAGCTTAGACAGGTGGATTAATCTCCAAAACAAGACGCTGGAAGGAATAAAACAGATTGGTTCGCACTTCAACCCCTTATTCGTGGTGATTCCGTAGCGTCAAGCATGTAATGTTTCGTGTGAGGTCTGTCGTGGGGGGAGAGACGAAACCATGCCGTCCTCCGCGTCACGTGAAGTTTCATCCAGGGTAGTCCCAACCTCCACGACAGAGTCCGGAAATATCGCGTAATAGCAACTTTACCCCAGTAATTCTAGCGCCCGCTCAGTTCCATGTGGCAACCAGCTGTGGCTAAATCAACGTTGATTTTATCTTTCCTATTAACCAAGGCTGATTTCACTTCAGCTACCTCCGTACATACAGACGTGTGCGATCACGTGAGACTGGTGCCATCCGTGTGCTTCCAAATGGCTGGCCCTGGCCCCAAGCCAGACGCCTTCGTCAGCAAAGAGGATGGAAACAAATACTGGGACGGTGTCGAGGCAGATGTCAACGGCATGCTGGGTGGCCTGCCTGAGAAAGGCTATGGTTTCATATCAAACCTCGACCTCCGGAGCTCACGGGCCTTCCTCGCAAAGCTGGGTATCGGAACTGGGCGTGGCCGGGCGGTAGTGGGATTGGCCCTCGAGGGCGGTGCAGGGTGAGCGCTGACAAGACAATGACATTTGACGGAAGTCTCTTGTCGCCACAAGATGAGGTCTCCAGTCCAAAGCTGACCATTTGGCGGGCTGTGAACAGAATTGGCCGGGTGACACAGGGTTTACTGCTCGACGTGGCAAAGGAGGTCGACGTGATTGAGCCCAATTCGAGATTCACCGCAGGGCTGGAGAAGACGCCCGGCGTGCGCAGCATCTTCAATGTCGGTTTGCAAGACTGGCGGCCGGAAAACGGCGACAAGTACGATCTTATCTGGGTGCAATGGTGTGTTGGCCATCTCAATGACGAGCAGCTGGTTGCCTTTTTGGAACAGTGCAAGTCAGCTCTCCAACCCGAGAGCGGCATCATCGTGTTCAAGGAGAACATGAGCCATCGCGATACCGACGACTTTGACGAGGTAGACAGCGCTGTCACAAGGTAGGATTTCTTCCCGACCAGCAGTCAGTGGACTCCAGAATCACTAACAGACCACACCAAAAGAACGGATAAGTCTTACCTAAGCTTGTTCAAGCAGGCGAATTTACGCGTTGTCCGAACTGAACTGCAGCGAGGATTCCCTGAGGAGTTGCTCGCCGTGAGGTCTTACGCGCTCATGCCCATCGATATCCAGGCTTAAACATGCACACATAGCCACACACATATATACCCAGAAATAGACGTACATACACCTCTGCACGAGATTCATTGCTTTTCTTTTCAAGATAGCCTAAGCTGGGAAAGCATAGGAGGGTCTTCGGTGCCATGTCTGCTAAAACATCGACCGTAGGAATGCCCTAAAGCCAGTACAGGACAGTTACTACATACCGTTCCAGCCCAAACTACAGCGCACATAACCCGCCGCAAACCAAGAGAGGCAGACTAAATAAGAAAATGGCGGCGTAAAAAGGAAACAAGAACCATGTTGGAGCTCATCTTTAGCGATTTTTAGAGTCATCGCAGGAGCATGCGCATGGCGGGCGGTCCTGGTCTTCCCTGGGTGAGGAGGTCTTGAGATCGTTGGATGGAAATGCTTGCAGCACCGCCTCCTAGGGCTAAACTTTCTGTAAGATCATTTCAACAGTAAAAATTTGCTTCATCACTTCCTCCAGCTGCAGCTCTAGTTGAGGTTCCACTTGCCTCTGTTCCATGAAGCTCTATTCTGTTAAGAGAACCTTATCTGGGGCACATGATGAACACTAAGCCGCCACTGCCTTCCAGTTCGGTTATTGACACTGAGGCTAGTTGTGAACTAAGATCATTTAATGGAGGCTCCTCTGGCGGAAATCTAGAGTGACAACAGTATATAAATAGCGGTGCAGCATCTCCAAGCACGCCCGTCACAGATCTGTAGTCAGCCACCCATGCCAGACAAGGAAACCATACACAGTGATGCTTGCAAAACAGAGCAAGTTATGTGACACTTTAGCAAGCCTATAGACACTCGTTATTCTTTGTCCGATCTGTTAGTTGGCAGAGTACCCTGCGACTTGCCCTTTCATAATAGCAGGAAGGTGATTCAGTCTCTACCATACATAATCCAGCTTCACCAGAGCAACAAAAAGCAAAAAGAAACATACAACAGCAGGTATTCGCTGGTCGTCACCGACCCAACTACTAATCCGCCCCTTAAAGGCTTGACTATGGGAGAGCGGACGGGATCCCGTATTTTCCTTTAGGTATGGTCGTATGTGATAGTTGGTCATATCATGAGGCCTATATACCCTACCACTATAATCCCAAATAAAGGGCAAAATAAAGAGCAAAAAACATACAACAGCGGGTATTCGCTGGTCGTCACCGACCCAACTACTAATCCACCCCTCAGAAGCTTATCTATGGGAGAGCGGACGGGATCCCGAGTTCTCTTCTGGGTATGGTCGTATGTGGCAGATGAAGCTATCGTCAGGGCTATATACCCTCCCTCCCCACACGAACTCTACACAATATTACAAAAAAACAAAGAGATACAACAACGCGTATTTCCCTAGTCAAACTCTCAAAGGCTGAACAAGAGTGGAAATCAATAACAATAAAAAATGCAATGATAACTAAGGCAAAGCAATTTCAATTGCTTCTTTGTCGCAGCACCCTCCCATCTAGATGGGTATACGCCTGCTTGAAGAATGCCTATCACTTGGATGAGAAGTACGTCTGCTGGGTATCCTTGGAAACAAGTGAGTAAAAGAAATCACGAAAGCCTTCACCATTTCTACGCTACGCACATAGAATGCCACACTTGGTTCTAGTTCATGACGCTCACTTGGTCAATTGATTGACGTCTCGAGGAAGACGTCTTTCGGTACAGAAGGTATTCAAGAGTTATGTCACAGAAACTCCGTCTCGAAAAGTTCTGGAGCCACCGAATCCCATATATTAAACCTCTCAGTCATTGGGCCTTCGCCCAGACCTCCGTCAAGAAGGCTGAAGCCTTTGTCCAATTCTGGAAACCACAACGGCTGATTGGTAATTGGATAATCTCCAAAAGCAGCCATGGAAAATTGCGAAGCTGATAAATTGAAGTTGCTTGGAGAAATCATTTCGTTTTGGGGGTAGTTTGTGTCAGTCACCAGCCCTTGAGAGGACGAATCAGGTTGGATTGCATTTGCCTGTTGCCCTCGACATTTAGCTTGATCGGATCCCGGTGACGAAAGGGATTGGGAAGAGGTTTTTTTTTCACTTACCAGGTATGTACTGAACGCATCCCTGGTACTGGGAGATGTGTTGGAAGCATCTCTATCCAGTGGCCTACCAGTATATACTCTGTCGCTGGACGTTGCTGTGGCCGAGTTTTCAGCCACCCACTTCTCCCAAGCCCGGCTACCCATGGTTCTGCAGTCGACAGGATCCCCGGGATTCGTGGAGGCCGGGCTTGGTTGTAGCTTTTGGGTCTTGAATAAACGGTTAAAGCCGGTAGTTATACCCTCTATTGCAGAAGCGGCTGTTTCATTTCCCTCTGCTAGCTCTCGTAGCATGTAGATTCCATCGGCGATGATGCCCTTGAAGTCATCAGTGGGAGGACCGAGCCTAGCACCCAGAAGTAATACATGGAGCGCGGCACTGCAATACAGTGAGTCCTGGCATGCGTATCGACACATTAGCTTGCTCTCCCTCAGGAATTTGAGTATTTTAATCGTGGTGATGGCAGCAGCTACACAGCACTTGGCTGCAGTCGTCAGAAACTCCATTTTGTTTGGTTGAAGATCGTTGGTGCTGTTCTCAACAGTCGCTGCTGCATGAGTGAGAGGCAGCCTATTCAACAATATAATGGTTTGTTCATGCGTTAAATGAAGATGAAACACGCCTCGTGATGACGACGATGATATTCTTAAGCCTTCTGGCAATTCCAGCTTCCATTGTTGTAACTCGGACTTGAGCGCCAGAAACTGGCTGGTGTTGATGACTCGGGAGTTGGAGGGGGCTGAGCCAAAGCTGGAGTATATGGTCTTAATCACCTTGCCAAGCAGTTTGCAAAGGTCAATCAGTGCGACCTGATTGTCTACTGGGCTTCCGAACCGATCAACTACCAGCTCGGCAACATGAGTCGGATACGGCGTATCAATCTCATCATCCTCAATTGTCAAGGGTCTACCCATTTGGAATGTGAAAAGTCGGTCACGGGTATAAACGCTCCACCAAAGACGGTTCCGTAATTCTAGGACGAGAGGATGCAACATGTCGGAGCTGACCGATTTGTGCATTCCCATATTGATTGCCATCCGCACTGCAAGTCCGTGCATATTATAAGCAACATCGTGGGCGCTCGTCCCGACCAAGTAACCACCATGTAGCACGCAGGCCTGGACACTAGTCATGGAGGAAGAAGTGACGACGTCTGCCAACAACCTTCTCGATATTTCGTAAAACCGCCAGCCTGGGTTGGGCCTGGGGGTTGGCGGCACCAGATCGAGTAGTAGTCCGGTTGAAGTTGACAAGACAGTCTGGCGATTTATCTCGGGATTTGGTTTTGCTTGTTCGAGATCGGCATACTGGGTCCCTATTGCCATGATGATGAAAAGAAGACAGATGAATTCGATTGGGCGTTTTGTCAATGATGCTGACGGGTCAAACTCGTTCTTGCCTTCGAGAAAAGCTTTCAGGTTCCTCGAGTATACTTCCGGGCTCACAATGTAGAAATTTGACTGAGCATACTTGAAGAAGTTGTCTGACAGGAACCCCAACACTTCTTGTGGGGGTAACGCAGCCAGGAGGCTGGGCCTTAGATCGCTAAGGAAGCCATTCGGGCTGTCGATGATGGAATGCCGGAAAGCCTGCAGAAGATGGTTATTAATTTGATCTAGGTGTCATGTCGGATGGTACCAACGCTTTTGTGAGCCCCTCTGTGTGAAGAGGTATTGTTGGAGACCCTCTCTTGAACGCTATCACAGAATGCCCATGACGAGAATAGTCCGTCAAAGTCTACTCGGCCGAGAAAGTCAGCATGAAACGCGCTGTGGGTGGAGAGAAGAGCCATCTCACATGTTTTCCCTTGGTCATGTACGTAGGTCTGGGGTGTTGGGACATGGTTCACGACCACGTTCTCATGGTCGTTGTTAATATTGGGCTCTCCAGGTCTAGAGGCACCATGGGTGGTGCTGTTTTGCCCCTCTTGAGTGGCTCTGTCGACACTTCTCAGAGCTTCCGCGTAATCTTGGAGTGCTCGCAAGTCATTTGGCACATTCATACCGCTTCTGTGAAGGATCAACTCCAACAGATTCTCCCTCTCAGACACAGTCGAGGTAGCTGCAGGGCTTGACCCCCGCCCCTGGGGCTTCTCCGCAAAGAGACACTCCGAGGGTCCGGTTTGGCACCGTCGACAGGGTTGCCGGCCATCGCACTTGAGCTTGTTGACCCGGCATCGAACGCACCTGTGAGGAGAGTCCCAAATGTCAGCACACTGCAGGCGCAGGTCCAGGGCACGGTGAACGCATCACGCACGCTTTCCTCACCCGCTTCCGCTGACTGTCTGGAACCAACGGCCTCTTTCGGCATGTGCTTGCCATATCAGCCGTTATCTCATTTGAGGGGACGAGGCTGTTGTCACAGAGAGGTCGGAACGCGATCCGAACGCTGTGGGCTATGCTGGGTGTTTGTAGTATCACGATCCGAGCAACGGACCATTCATCTGGCTTCCGACAGGAAGTGATAACGAATCCCCGCACAAATAACCCCCGCTTCTCCACGTTGAAACCTACCTGATTCAGGAAAGGAATGATTCTCTATCGAAATCACTACGTAGCCCTCTAAGCCCTCTCCTCATCCATGACTCGAACCACTTTCGGCTAGTGGAGTAATTACTGAGAATACACATGATGCATGCTACATGATACAGTCAACGTCTAGCAAGAGCAGCCCGGCGAATCGGGGAGAATGCAGTCTCAGCTGAAGATCATAAAGACAGAGCATACTTCTGTCTCATGCAATCTCGAACATTGAGAGCCTTAAGATCAACCGGAGGATTTAATATTTGTATTTATTTATTTAACAATTTAGCATGTTTCATACAAGAGTCTTTGCCATCAGTCTCTACTGATAAGCAGCATCACCACGGCGCCCGGTCAGTTGTGACCGGCCAGTTATCCAAGGAACTAAACGCTACGTGACCCTCCTTGACCACAGCAAGCATATTAGCCTTGTCGTCCATGATAGTAATGTCCTCCAATGGGTTCTTCTCCAATACAACCAAGTCGGCGAAAAAGCCTTCCTTGATCTGTCCAACATCGTTCTCGAGGCGCATCACCTTGGCATTGTTGATGGTCACGCTCCGCATAATCTCCTCTGGTGTCTGTACCTGGGAACGGAGGGAGAATTCCTTCAGTTGGAACTGATGCATGCCGGCAACCAGGTCGGACCCGAAGCACACTGTGACGCCTGCCTTGGCTGCAACCTTGAGTGCTTGGAGGCCTGAAGCCATCACGGCCTCGTTCTTCTTAGTACACACCTCATTCAAGAACTGGTCGTAAGGCGGAACGGTCATGCCGTAGTGGGTAGCCAGAGTGGGCGTCATATAGATTCCCTTCTCTACCATGAGCTGTGCAGTTTCCTCATCGAGGAAATTGCCATGCTCGATGCCCAGAACACCATTCTTGATCATGTGCTGCATGGCCCGGACCGTGTACGCGTGTGCAGTCACGTAGGTGTCAAAGCTGGCTGCAGTTTTCGTAATGGCCTGGATCTCTTCGTCGAGAAACTGCTGATGTCCGAGGTTGTTGAGGCGGCTCGCGACTCCTCCGCCGCCCATGATCTTGATGAAGTCAGCGCCCTTGCGAATCTCGTCTCGGACAGCAACGGAACACTCTGTCGGCCCGTCGCAAAGTCTTCCAATGCCGGACCGGTGACCGGCGCAGCACTTGAGTGTAGGATCTTCATCAGAGAAGAAGGGTCTCTGGTCGCCATGACCGCCTGTCTGGGAAAGGGCGTGTCCAGCAATGAGCAACCGAGGACCTGGTATCAGCCACTCACTGATTGCCTCTTTCAGTGAAGCATCCGCTCCGCCGCAGTCACGGGCAGTAGTGAAGCCCCTCTGGAGCATCTCGCGTGCCAGGAAGGTGGATCGGAAGTTATTCATTGACGCGGGAATGTTCTTATATGTTCCCCGCAAGTCTGACTCGCCCGGTGTAGCTGTGAGGTGGACGTGGGCATCGAGGAGGCCAGGGCATAGATATTTCCCATCAAGGTCAATGACCTTGACGTTCTCGCCAACGTTTGGCGTGGAGCCAATGGAAACTTTCTGGAAACGGCCATCAACAGCAAGGACACTTGTATTGTCAATCACCCGACCCTCCAGAGGATCAATCAGCTTCGCATTGATGATCTGGAAAGGCTCATGAGTGGGAAGAACCCAAGGCCTGTCCCCGGTGATTTTAGGCTTCTCAGCACCGGCCTTTGGGATGGTAGGTTTCTGTGTCATTTTGGAGGAAGCTGGCTTCAGGGTGATCAAAAGCGGGAGGAAGAATTTGACATGGAGAGTGTCAGAAGAGGAGCTCTTCACGCACTGCTACTACATATCTTTATACCATATCATCTCATCTTATTCGCCGGTATCGCTGGGTGATCTTGGATATCGAGGTTGTCTCGGATAGGTGTACCCGATATCAACACCAAGGGTATCGGCTCCGGAGCCGACACCCTGGTTCCCCCAGACGATGCACTCCCTCACACTGCACTTGATCCAGGCCCCCGGCTCTACGAGAACTGGTTCAAGGCCGGGGAAAGTTATAAAACTTGGCCTTTATCTCGTGATTAAACAGCGGCCAGCAGTCCAATAAACTCAGCATTTCTCAAACCTCTTTCAGCTACAAGAACGACATGATGAGCGGAACCTTCGAGAAAGGAGCCAAAGAGGACCCTAGCATGGACGAAAAGGGCCACCAGAGCAAGCCATGTCTTGATGCTACAAACACAGTGGAAGAATTAACTATCTATACGCAAGAAGAGGAGCGGGCTGTGCTCAGGAAGATTGATCGAGTGGTTCTGCCATTGATGTGTATTGTCAACTTTTTTCAATGTAAGGCCCCATCGACACATGGCTCTCTTGAGCTCAATGTTACTGGAGATACGCTAACTGTTGGGAATGCTGTCAGATCTTGACAAGCAGTCGATCGGTTTCGCAGCAGTATTCAACATGCCCGATGAGCTTGGCATGTCGAGTAAGCAGTACTCATGGTCGGTCAGCTCGTTCTATTTCGGACAGCTCATCTCCGAGTACGTCTTCATCTACATCATGAGCCGTCTGCCCATCTCGAGAACCGTCGGTTGGACAGTAATAACCTGGGGTGTCGTTGCCGGCTGCCTGGCCGCACCCGGCAATTTCAGCGGCTTCACGGCCGTTCGATTCCTGCTCGGTTTTACTGAAGGTGGTGTCTCTCCCGCCTTTGTTATCATCACTGGTTCCTGGTACAAGAAATCAGAGCAGCCTTTCCGAGTCGCCGGATGGGTGACTTGCAATGGCCTTGCCCAGATATTCGGTGCTCTGATCATGTATGGCATTGGCCTTGCCGGCAACACTGCCATCTCCAACTGGCGAGTTATGTTCCTCGTCTGTGGAGGTGGGACTGTACTCTCTGGTATCCTTTTCCTTGTTTTCATGCCCCTAGGCCCTGGAACGGCCTGGTTCCTCAATGCGCGTGAGCGGAGCATCGCCACCCAAAGGTTGGCCGAGGAGCGAATTTCCAAGGAGCAGACAACGTTCAAAGTGTCTCAGCTCAAAGAGGCGTTGCTGGATCATCGCGTGTGGCTCTTGGTAATTGGTGCTTTCTGCAACACGCTCGCCTCTCCCGTCATTAAGGTCCGTGTTTTAATCATCTCGTATATCACAATCAGTCATGATCTAAGTACTAATGCCTATCTACTCGCAGTTTGGAACATTGGTTATTAATGGATTCGGCTGGTCGAAGCTTAACACAATGCTGGTCAGTCTTCCTGCAGGCGTGCTGCAGATCATCATGATCTGGATCGTCGTTGTCGGTATCCGGGTCACCAAGATCCCAAGATCTTGCTGGGGTATTCTTGCCAGTATCCCTCCCCTGGTTGGCAATATCTGTCTTCTTGTGCTGCCCATGGATGCGAAATGGGGCATCGTTGGTTGCACCTGGATGGCCACTGTTCTCTCACCCACGATGGTTGTCTTCCTGAGCCTCATCGCCTCAAACTTCAAAGGCAATACGAAAAAGTCCGTGGCAAGTAACAGCTACTTCATACTTTACGCTGCCGCAGCCATTGCCGGGCCACAGCTATGGACAAATGCGCCAAGGTACGTCGAAGGTGTCATTACTGACATTGTTGCCATTGGAGCGTGCATTGTCGTTTTCGCGTTGTTTGGTCTCTCAGTCGGATGGGAGAATAAACGACGGGATAAAAATGGCCATCGAACGGCTGAGGAGCAAGACTCAGGCGATGCCGATGTCACGGACAAGCAGGACAAGGACTTCCGATACACCTGGTAGAAAAGCAGATGGCGCCTCTAGTTCCAGGACTGACAAGCCCCCGGACCGTAGGCTTCATTGTTGTGGTAATCTCACTCTGCAAACGCAATGTACCGATGACCGCATCTACTACGAGCTTACGGAGAGTCTCTGGGTGCATAGCCTAACGAAATATTTGTTATCATTTAATACCAACTTAGCCTTTCCGAAGCTTCGTGTGCAAGATAATAATAAACACTCGAATGCCTTCAAGGAATTGATAATATCATCTAGGAAGTCCCACAGACACAGCAGCATAGAGACTATGGGCCGTCAAGGTTTACTCATGGAAATGTGAAGCTCAAGATGTCGGCTCTACGATCGTGCTCAAGAATTCCGTCGCCTGTTCGGAGAGTGGGCTATATCTCCCACATATGATGCGTCCTCGGATCGATCCGTAGGTTGTATGATGAAGCTTTAGTAAGGATGATCTTGGTAACCGTGCGAGGGCCTCTGAGTTTCCTTGCTAATTGAGAGCCCAGCAGAACCCAGAACCCTACAAAGCGATCGGCTTCTTCCTCAAGCTCTTTCTCTCGCTTCTGAATCTCCGCGGTGCCCCCGCCAAGATCATCGTCGGCGTCTGATGGTCGGTCGGGGCTGTCGAGGGATCAAATAGTGCGTAGCCCTGGTGTCGAGTCATCTGAGACTCCTCTACCAGCCTTGATATGTCAGCCGCCGCACCGTGGTCCTTTCGCTTTGGGGGCATGATATAATAGCACCGCACTGATGTGGGCGGCCGCGATCACAGACTCTTGGAGTCGCGAGGACCTGATTGAAAATGGCGCGGAATGCATGGACGAGACAATAGAATGAGGTTATATTGCCACCACAGCGATCATGATCGGCGGCATCGCCTGCCTGGAAGAGATTGATTTCAGAAGCGTATCGCAAAGCAAAATTTGATGCCAAGATACATAACAAGTGTGCTTATGCTTAAAACATTTGTTCAGGCTTCGTAGTTATTCGTAAAGTTGACCGTCAGGACGTGTGGCAGCCACCTTGTCTGATTTTCCAAATGCCTTCATGGCGACTTCAAATTCTAGGACCATCACTGATCACAGAACACACACATAATGTCACTTCGTTAGGTAGATCACATTCTTCCGATATTCGGTGTGAGGATTGAGAGACCTCACAAGACTAGGTTACGTGATAACTGCCTCTTCTTTGGATGGTCATACATGCCCCCCACAGAGGTTCTTCTAGCTGCCATCTTCGCCTCTTCTCCTCCTCGGCAATATATAGTGAACACGCGTCATCCACGTCGCCAAAGTGCCAAAAGGCCCCGTCTCGAGCACCTTGAAGCAACTATTACAATTAATACACACCAAGGCGGTGTCTCACGCATGCAAACACTCCTCTACAGGGGTACCGGCTCTAGATGTCCAGCAGCCTTGTCTCGGACACTGCAGCCAAAGGCCCCTCCTCAGCTTCGTCTGGCTCCTCAACACCATTGTTCAAGAGCATTTCAGGGTCGTCCCTCGGCTGAAACCCAGTGTCAATACGTTCTATGCCCTCGGACGCATCGTCGTTCTCGTCGTCGTTCTCATTGTTCTCGAGTGCAGCAAGGCGGGCTGCCCGGCCCTCCTTTTTACGTGGCACGGGTGCTAAAAGAGAGCAGTTAGTCGAAGCCCATTTCCACAAATGGCGTGGCCTAAGCCTACCTCGTCCATTCTCTTGGACGTAAAACTTTCGCAAAAGCCCGACGGCATCATCACGGCCCCAGCCTCCTTCGATCTCATAGCCAGGCTCAACGTTGCCTCCATCTCCACCACTAGGAGGAAAAGAGGTTCCGAGAATCTGCCCACGGCCAGGGAGTCGGATGGGTGGTGGCTGTGGATGCGCGCTCATCGACGGCCCCTCGCTACTAACGGGGAGGGAATTGGCGTGGATGCTGAAGACGCCACCGGTGCCACCAAACTTGTCATTAACTGCGCCAAAGTAGACCTTCTTAATACCAAGCTGTCGAAGGAGTGAAGCGCACATGACGCAGGGCTCTACGGTCACGTAGAGCACGCATTCGCGGATAATAGATCGGTCAACCTTGGCATCCGGGTGCTCTTTCTGTCCATATGGATACAGGTGTCCCTTCCTGCCATCCTCATTGCCCTCGTCGGGGGGAGCAGAGTAGGTAGAAGCGCTGTCTTCCGACATGTTTTCCGGCTTCATCTCCACCTTGGGCTTGGGCTTGAGCGACGTTGTCCGGGGTAGATTCGCACTGGGGATCGAAAGGAGCGCGGCCAGAGCCATAAATTCAGCATGACGGGTGCCATTTCGGGTCACATTCGTAGCGTTCATGCCTCGGGCGATGATCTTGTCCTTGTGTACGAAAACACATCCTACAGGTGTTTCGTTTGTCCGGAGGGCCAATCGAGCCTACTCATCGTATTCGGTCAGCAAGTTGAATTTCATGAGAACAACGAACGTCCTGGGGAGCAGCCAGGCATAGGCCATTGGTGTAAAGACGAAGGGTGGGAGGGGAAACACAAGCCGGGTTATAAGCAGCCAAGACAAATGACTTACCATTTCAAGCGCTTCCTCGGTGAAGTAGCTGTGTCGATCCTGCTCCTCCTGAAGTGCCTTGAGTTCTTCTGGACTGAGCTCCGGGGCTATTAGCTCATCTTTCTCAGGGGCCGCGGGTGCAACTACTGGTGTTGTTTCCTGGAGAATGTTGATTTTAGGCGTGTTGTCGAGGCCAAGGCCGTCGAGGGACGAAGCGAGGGCGTCCACGTCGGCATGAACTGGCGCATGATTCGGATATCTCTGCCTCTCGGGGGCTGTGCCAATGGGCAGGTTTTCCTTGTTCAAGTCCGCACTTGTGCCCGGCGGGGCATGCTTTTTATTTGGGGAGGGCACAGAGACTCGCATCGTGTCGCGCGTGCCAGCCTCGAGGGCAGGTTGTTGTAGATCCGTCACCTGGGTCGATGTATTCTCAAGTTCTCCGGATTCAGTCACCTTGGGTGGACCTGGGACAGTAACTGGGCGGTCAGGCGTGCCAGGGACAACAGTCTGGGTATTCTGGGTACCTAGGATATCAGCTGGTTTGTTGGCAGCGGCGTCTGTGTGGCTATCGTTGACGGTGTTTGCATTAGCCTCGAGGTTTGCGTCAAGGGTACCAGCAGTGGCAACAGTTGCAGACTGGCCGTGGTCGCGCGTGAACAACTTGCGAATCCTTGGGCCGGCCTTGTCCAGTCGAAGAAGAGACTTGAATCTGGCCATGGCGGCTACTGATGGAAGGAAGGACCCACGGACTCGCCTCACGTCGCCCTCACTCTCACCTCGCTCTCACTCCCACTCCACGCTCTCTCTCGCGCTCTCGCTGGCACTCTTTTTCTTTCTTGCTGGCTGCTAGTCGCTCCACTCTCCTCACAATACCTTCGTCCGAGGTACGGTGCTGGTAGATTGGCGGCCAGGTACCTGCTCTGCACGCTGTTGGCCCCTCGGTTTGCACCTGCTGCAAGGTGCAATTGCCCTGCCTGCCTCGCTTGCGTGCGGCCAAACGCGTTCTGCTCAGCCAGGACACTCCTCTCAAGACGGTCCTTTTCGAAGGTAAAAGATAAAAGTTGACCGAGCCCAACCTGGATGGTCTCTCTCGTTCGACTAACCCGCAAGTCACTCCTCTGTCTGTTTTGTCTGTCTCTGTGTCTGCCTGCTGAGCTCGTTTCCACCAGTCCTACGTCCTCGGCCCTGAACCTCGGATCGTGCTTCCGGTGTCTTCTCGCGACCAGTCAAGTCCGCTCTTCCTTCACCCGTGGTCGCTCGACCTCTCCGCCAGCAGCCTCGTCGCAGCAGAAAAGGCGTCCTCCACGGTGAATGGCTCAACCACGGACAAGCAGCGCCCCGTCGCGAAAACTCCGGGTCGATATGGCCGCCTCGCACAGACAGAAGGAAATAAAAACAAGGAGGCAGGAAAACAGTGCCCGCGAAACAAGGACGACGGGCGCGGGGAGCTGGCAAATAAAGCAAGGCCGCGCTGCCGGCCAAGAGGCGAGATCCAGGAGACCCCCAAACCTCCACGCCCACTGGCTTTCCCTTTTACACCGCTCAATTCTAGGCAAACGTTGTTGCCCTTTGGCCCGTCCTGCCTCGCACCGAAACGTCAAAGATTCGCTCCGCGTCCTCCCCGGTGTCGCCCTTCCGTGGGTAGCACAAGTCGCTGACTCCACTGGGCAGCCACCACGTTGTCTACCGGTCCAATCCAATCTATTCCCAGTATCACTCTACTGTGCTGCTCACTGACCCGGTCAATTGGGACGGCACGGGCTGTGTGTGTCCTCCAGCTTGTGTTGGCGCATTGATGTCGCCTATCCGCTACGCCTGTAGATTTTTTTTGGCGTTTTTTTTTTTTGCGCCATGGCTTATGCGCCGCCAGTCCTTCCCAGTTTGCCTTACCAACTGAGTTCCCACTGTAAATTTGCAACAGCTCCCTATTAGGGCCATGAAATGCGGTCTTGTGTCCACTGAAGGCGGAAGCTTGGCCAATCACATGATTGATTGGCCGTTAACTACACTGCCGCCCCTTGCACAAGCTAACACCACTTGTCCGACTGACTGAAACAATTGACGAAAGCGCAAGGCCAGACTCACTTGCTCCGAGCACTTCTTTTTTTGTCCCATTCATTTCTGGCAAACTTCATCAATCTTTCTTTGCAAAAAATTACAAGACCGAAGCTAGTCATTGTCGTTGTGACTTGACTTCGAGTCGAGATTCATTTCAATAGGAAAATAAGCTAGTATCTAACATGGGTCCTCCTTCAGAGAGACCGTCTAAAACAAAGGCAGCGCGCTTGCTATTGCTGCTTGGGTATAAAAGACATAAAACCAACCAAACCCTCTAACCAGATAATCCAAGGCCAGCGTTACTCTCGGTCACGTAGCCAGAAGTCAATACCGGGTAGACCCATTCAAACAACTTTTCTTCCCAGGGGGACGTCAATCGTTGGCAATCTGCCGCGATGCTGCTTGAACATCTTGATACATTAGAAAGCCTGGACCAATTGGCGTCCATGTAGCGGCACACGCATATGTGTGTACGTATTCGTTAATCTTGAGGCATTCGCCTCGCGAGTGACGGTGGACAGAAGGCTTTGAGATGCCTTCAGAGCTTTGCGTTCCGTTGATTTGGTCGACGACCATCCTTGGCCGAGACACGAAGCTGCTACCACGCTGGCAGTTGCCATCGCAATCATGAAGTTCCACGCTGAAGCAGCCTGGGCCACCAGTAGCGCTAGGCCTAGGCCGTAGAATGCTATCGTGGCCCGTGGATCTGAAGGCTGTGGTAGTAGTGCACTCGTGCTTGTCGGCAGCTTACTTCGGACAAGGCCGTGGCGCTGGCGAAGTAAAACTGATGGCAGAGGAACAGACGACTGGCCAGTGGATCGGTCGGCACGGCCAGCTTGAGCGGCAGCGGCGGCGGAGGATTTAAGGCCGTTCGCATTTGCTTCTACTGCGAGTAAGTGCTGTAGCTGTTGCCTATGCAGCAGATCAACGGAGGAGTGAGAATCATCGTGCGACGTTGCCGTCCGCGATTGTTCCCGAATTGCGAAGACCGCATGCTTCAGTCCTGTTAGTCCCAAGTTCACACCAGTCTTTGGGGTGAACAATTGCCATACCATTGTCGCATGTTGATCATCGCCAACAATTTGTTGATCGTCAGCATATGCTGCTTCTTGTACGACGTTCCTAATCCTCGACGCCTAGAAATTGTCAGAATGGCCTTCACTCGCTGAGCGGCTGTACGTACGGCTTCTAGGTTCGTTATTTCTCGTGACTCGACAACGGAGTCAACGCCAGTGAATGCAGATTCCTTTATACATGTTAGCCAGCGTGTGGTAGGTTCGTCCGAGAAGGGCACGTACGTCAAGGCCAGCCACCGAAGGTGATTGAGAGCCACGGCTGCTGCTGAGAGATGATTCCTTTTTAAAAATTAATAAAACGAATTCTTCAGCTCGGGCGGATGGACTTACGCTGTCGCTCGTAGAGAGAATCTCGGATCCAGTCGAGTGAATGCTATCGGCAAATGATACCTTACGAGACGTTAGCCTCAATCCAGGCAGCATCTCCCCGATGGTACTTACATTATGCAGGCTTGCCGCAAATGCTTCTTGCTCAGATCGGCTAGATGATATCTTCTCCGAAGTTAGTCGCTGTCCAGACCAAGCCAAAAGGGAGCTCCATACCGTGTGGCCATCGCGTAACATCGAATCGGCAGGCGCAGATTGGATCGCAGATGCATTCAGATGATCTGACGTCCTATAATAAAGCCCTCCTTGATCGATTGCGGGAGATAGTAGCCTATTGTGATCCTGGCCATCGCCGACCACTAATTGTTCTGCCTCACTTGGCAGGTGCATCGTGCCATGTGCATCATCGAAGCCATCGCCACCATATATTAATGGTGATTGCGTAGGAGCTCTGTAGCGTCCAAGATCGCCTTCGGTGTTTTCACCTGATGAACTAGAGGGTGTCGACGATGCAACTGAGAGCATGCGATCATCCTCTGAGAAGGTAGACTGAGGTGAATATAGGTTGAAATCGGTGTAGTCGGCGTCAACAGGAATGTTGAAGTCGCCCGCTGGGGTAGCATTCACTGCATGTTGATCAACACTGAAGTAATCGGTGCCAGCATATGCTTCCTGAAGGCCAGAAACAACGTTCTCGTGGATCGAGTTTGGCGAAATAGAGTGGCGGATGGGTTGCGATTCTGGGGTAGAGAAACTGGCGGACCCGGATGAGATGTATCCCTCTGGGTCGAAGAAGAAGTCGTAGTTCTCGTCGAGCTCCTCAACAGGATATTGGATGAGGTCTTCCCAAGGCTGCTGCTGGGCAAAGTCGAGAGGCATGAATGTGTCAAGGTCAGATGTAAGAGAGAAGTCGAAGTCTATCGAAGGTGCAGGTGGTGGCACTGATTCCATGGCCATTGGGAGGGCCTTGGCCACTGTTGGCTCCTGTCGCGTCACCTTGGTCTTCTTCACCACCTTGGCGGTCGATGGAGCAGCCACCGGCGAGGCACCACCGCGCTTCTTATGACTAGGGTCGCATCTGACCTTCTTCTTTCGGCAGCTGTCGCAGGCCTTGATAATGCGCATCAAATGTGCATGATCGCGCTGCTCCTTGGTCTTGGAACCGCGGGAAGCAGAGTTGGTCACATCAACACCTTCCTTGGTCATGATCTTCATCCCAGGCATGTGGGAGAAGTCAGCAGCGGGCTGCTGTTGACGCGAGGAAGCGATGCTGGCCTTGCGAGAGGACTGAGGGGTGGAAGAACCATTGATGGAACTCCAGTCCCAATTTGAGGTGACAGGGCTGACATTGAGAGAGGAGGTGGAGACACTAGCAGGAGACTCGGGAGAGGCAACAAGACCAGCGACGGCGTAGAACTTGAAGGTCTCGCCGGTCCTCTGGATGTGGTCGAGGAAGTCGAGAGAGATGGTGGCGCGCTTCTCCTTGATAGAGGCAGGGCCAGGGAAGTAAGCGTCCATCAAATCATCGAGATGCTTGGTTCCGAGAGCAGGGAAGAACTGCAGAGGGGCACCGAGCATAGGCTGGTAAACGGAGAATCCCTGGGGAACAGAGGCAGTGGACTGGAAATTGGCCATTACGCTTTCGTGAACGGAGAACCGGGAAGGGCGTGGAGAGAAAATGGTGAGAGAGTGCCCGACTGGTTAATCTGGTTCAATGTAAGACGAGGCGAGTCCAGGTATTGCCCATGCGGGCCGCACTTAGCTGACTTACGTCAAGAACAATTGAACCCGGGATGCGGATTCAAGAGGAGTCTGACTACGGGGGCGAAGTGTCTGGAACGTCCGGTGTCGCGGACGTTGGGGTGCGCGTGAAGCTGCAAAGATGATCCAGCTCGAAGAACGGATGCTGGGGAATAGTGGGGATTGTAATTGAGATTGGAATCGGGGTATGGACTCGAGAGCAGAAGACAGCCAGTCGTTTGCGCCAATTGGGGTGGGATTGGGCAAGCTGGACTGGGGCTTCTACAACACAGCCAGGTGAGCTGGGGAGAGTATGGGGCAGGTCTCTAGAGAGAAACGAGGGTCAAATCGACTCGCGATATGGTGGAAAATGGTGAGACCAAAAAATCGAAGAGTAGAGAAGAAACCTCAGGCTGATGTCGGGAGGGAGTCATGGCCGGTATTTCAGTATTGTTACCACCAAGGCGTCAGCAAGAGCCTCGCGCATGGCGCAGCAGGCCGAGTGGAGTGCCAAAGGGGACTCCCACAGAGTCTTTCGGCGTGCTCAAACAGGTCTAGCGCGAGCGACAGGGGTGGTGCGCTCTGGCCAACCAGCAGCCGGCATTCTCGGCTGATCTGGCCATCGCCGCCTCCTCACTGGCTGCAATTGCCCCACATCATGCAGAGGCCCCTTGGAGCTTCGGCGAGGCAGAAGGCCCATCATTGGCCAAATTAGGGCTTCAGCACGGGCCATCTGCATCTGTGACTCAATCATCCTCACCCTGATGGAACATCAGACACCACCATCCCCAGAATCCAGCACTGAGGACTCGGCCGCGCGACTCTCCGTAAGGCAGGCGGGTCCTTTTGCCTGCCCACCTCGACCAGTCAAACTACGGGACTTTTTTAATCAAGCGGATCTACAAGGAAATGAACCGGACTACGGCGCTCTGAGCTGAGTTGCAGGTTCCTCCAGGAAGTGAGAGGGGGACCTGTCCTCTTTATACTCCGTCGCACAGAGGGCCACCTCCTAGCGCCCTTCATGTCGATTGTTGTCATGTGCATACTGATGCCTGAAGCCAACCATGCTGACCCAGGCGATTCTATGAGGGTGGGTAGATGTTGGCTGCCTACAGTTACTGTTGTATTCATCGAATCGCACTCTTTTCCAGATGTGGTGGCCGGCTTATTGTTGCAGAACGGTCAACTTGTCGTATTGCCTGCTTACTCAATCCGACATGCTACCCTAGACTCTGCCAAAGCTAATCTGGAAGTCAGCACAGATAAGTACTTACCTATCTAATGGTTAAATGGCCTTGAATGGTAATTCGTTGGTTTAGTTTTTCTGTTTCTGTTTGATTTTAAGTGTGCATTAGGTTTTGAATAGAGTCCAAGAAACTGTTAGGCTTCTAACTAAATTGGTAACTTTGGCATCTTCTACGATTCGATGCCACTTGTGTGAAGAGTGCAATTTAATTAATGACTTGCCATCACAAGACAGGCTGATAATATCCCCCTATGGATATGTACTGCACCACTTGTAAAGGAACCATAGGCGCAAACCAAACACCAATTATCTCAGTTGGCGTTGGTGTTGGTGTTGGCGCGTTGCAGAAGAATGCCTCACCTAGCACCGCCACACCCGCGCGCTGCACCACACCTCAGCCACTACCACTAGCCAACTGTAAAATTGCCAGCTAACTCAACCAGGTTGGCAGCCGCTGGAGCTTCAACGGTTGCTGGCAATGGGAACGCTAGCTGGAGTCCATCATTTCTCCGAGTCCACCAGGCACAGAGTCCCAGAAAGCCTGGCTCCAATTCATCGCTGGCAGCAAAGCCACAATTGCCAATGGCTGTATTGCTTGGCCAGGAGATGGAAATGAAATGAAGCTAGATCAATTGACGACTTTTTTCGAACTACATCTGTGCTCCCAATGTTCTGGATAGAGTTTGAAGTGAATGAGTCACGGCCATGAGGTGAGTTTGTGACTGTGCATGTAAAATTCTAGGTGCGAACCTTCTATCAAGCTTTCGGGATGACCCTGAAGACTTTTCTTCTTTTTCTTACCTCACACATTTTACCTTCCAGAAGCAGGTCAATCTTGATTCCGAGGAGACTCTCGAAAGCTCGCCCGGAAGGCGTCCGGTAATTGCTTCGCATTAATTGTCACCTGATGAGCGTTATCGCATATGCACAGCTACAATTTAGAGTATGAGGTAGAGTCCACGTGCCAATTGACGCAATCACCACGCATTGATATGTTACATCTGCTCAATATTTACTAGAGTTGGAGAGAGGCAATTGCATTGGAAGGCTGCCCGTTGATTGAGCGGGGACGATCGTGCTTCCATCGACGGCTCAGAGGCTGTATTGCAGGCACTTGAAATCTGCTTTGTATGAAGCGGAGATATGGGATCAATTCTTACCAAAAATTCACCTGATACCTGTGTATCTACGGTGATTGTACCTCATGTCATGTTATCTTAAGGGGGTATCATTCATCGTGTCATTACATACATTAAATCCGGGATGGGCCGCTAGTGTTTGGCCGTGTCATTCCAAGAAGGTCTTCCGCGTGTCTGCTCCAAGCACCCCCATTAGCCTTGCTGAATCCTGGGAGTGTCTGCCCTGGGAGTGTCTGCGCGGGCCCTCTGCTTTCACGAGACGGAGCAGCTTCAGGTGCTGCTACTTTCTTTCTCTCTCTCACCATCATAGGGGCTTCTATGGGACGAGTGACGGGATCGAATGGCACCAGTGTCTGAAGTATCTGGCCTGCTGCGTCCGCTTTGCTGGCCGCTTTCTTTCCTCGGGTGGCCGGATTGACTAGTCGACCTTTGGGTTGCGGATCGCTCTGTTGACGTACTAGCCTTGGCTGTTCATGTCTTTTGATGGGTTGCTGCTCAATGGGCGGGGATTCACCCTCTAAGGACAATGACCGATGTAAGGTGGCTGAGGGAACATCTTCCTGCAAACCGATACGGCCAACGGCAGAGACATATGCGCTTGGAATTGACTTGTTCTCGCTTGGTAGTTTGAAGCCGATTATTTCCTTGCTTTTGATGCTCTTACGCGACATTCTCGTTATTTGAGGACCTGTGGACTTTGCCTGGTTTTGCTTCTTACTTCTCGCCGGAGCCGCCCTGGTGCGAACCTGTTGCTTGGTTGTTGGAGCTGGCCCCTGCCAATCGTCGCTCTCTTCTGAATCGTCATTGTTCCGCTCTGGGCTACTCTGTGGCATTTGTGGGCTTTCTTTTGGCGTCCTTTTAGCTCGTGGCTTTTTCTCTTTTCTCGTCCGTCGTAGCTGTGGCGCGTTGCTCTCTTCTGAATCGTCATTGTTCCACTCTGGGCTACTCTGTGGCATTTCTTTTGGCGGGCTTTCCTTTGGAGGGCTTTCTGTTGGCACCCTTTCTGCTCGTGGTTGTTTCTCTCTTCTCACCCGTCGTGGCTGTGGCGCATCGCTCTCGCCCGAAGAACAGTGTGCGGAATCTTGAGCTTCCTGGTGCTCAACTTGGGCAGCGTGGCTGGCTGTTTCCGGGCCAGGATCGCTCGTTGCGTCTATTTGGGGGTTTGGCTCCTCCTCCTCCGCGTGTGCGATTGCGTGTTCTGAATCTTGGTCATCGACTTCTGCAGGCTGGATTACATCTTCTGTTGTTGGGATGTTTGCGGTTTCTTCGGCACGGTCAGGCTCCGGTGTAGATTGTTTTCCCTCCTGCTCTGAGCTGACCGCCGTGTCAACTCGGGGGGACTTCTGGGTACCGTCCGTCTCCTTTCCTTCCAGAGGCTTCTCAATTTCAGTGCACTCATTGCCATATTCCGTGGCAAAATTGCTTTCACTGTCATCCAAAGGAAGTTCTTCGCCAAGCCACTGCTCAAAGCTATCTTCGGTTGGTAGATCTTTTGTGTCCTTAGGCGGTGGCGGGCTTGGGGAGCGCTCAACCGGTTTGGCAACTATCTTCTTTTCTGCCAACATCATCAAGCCCCTTTTCCTCTTTGGTTTAATCCGTAGTGCGGTGCGTGGTTGAGGTTTGTCGGGTATGGGTTCGGACTCGTCATCCACAGCTATCGGGAAATTCTGGGTTTCGACGGTTGGCGAGCGTTTTCTGGTCTTGAGTTGGTCGGGTTTGGGTGCTTCATCGCCGGGTTTGACAGTTGGTTGTATTTTCTTTGTCGATTTAGTCGCCGATTTGGTCGGTTTTGTAGCTTTCGGTCTTGCTTCAAGGCAAACGACTTCGTCCTCTTGTTCTTCGACTCTTTTCGTAATCGAATGAAGCGAAGGAGTGGCCCTGGAAAGTCCGGTCGGGCCCAATCTATTTGGAGCACGATTTTGTAGAACTGATGTTTTGGGAGGCTCTTTTTCTTCGGTTTCGGATGGCTCAGTCGCTTCAATTGGGCGAGGCTTCTTTCGTGGAGGCATACTTTCTTGACATGGTTCTGGGTCCCAAGGAATAACATTGGTGGCCATATGAGGAACCCCCCATGTTGCGTCTGTATTCTCGACCTTTCGTTTGGCTTTGATATCGAGCGACTTCAACCGTAAACGGGCTTGTTTGGTGGCGGTAGCCCGTTCAGACTCTGGACTACCAAGCTTCCTCACATGAGCATCTGACGTGTCCGCGGAAACCTGACCAAGCTCCTCTTCATCCTCCTGATGGTCTTCTTGCACAATATTCTCGGGTGAGGGTTGCTTCTCGACTGATGAGACCAACCGCTCCTTCTGTTGCTCACGCCTGATTGTCGCTTGATCCCGCAGGGCCCGGATCCGTGCTGCCGACGTACTAGCCGACGGATTCGAAAAGCAAAGTTGCCCACCAAACAATCCCCGCGCATGGCCACTCTTCGCCGGGGGCGACACGCTTCGCTTTCGTCTCTTCGCAGGTCTTTCCGTCGCACCTTGTCCTTGTTCCTGCTGCTCGGATTGACGAACTTCGTAGGGCGATTGTCGTGGCAAGACAGACCTCCCAATCCGATTGGGGGTGTGCATAATCGCACTTAGCGGGCGCTGAAATTGTATGTTGTCGGTCGGTCGGGGCGTTTGGTCGGGGCGGCTCGCGCTCGAAGGGTGGGCTGCTATCCTCATTCTCCGGGCCTCGACTTCCTTGACCCTCTTGTCAACCAGTTCGCCCAGATCATGCTCAGTCGTCCCGACTTGCTCACATACTTGCACGAGAGCAGATCCTCGGTCCAGCGTAAACTCTTCGCCATCGACCATGTCTTCCTGGTTTCCTGGCCAATGGCTGTCACCAATATGGTTTCCCTTGTTGTCATGCACAACTATCCGCTTGTTGTAGGTGTGGAATTTGAGCTTCCCATCTTGCCATCTTTTCTGGTTCTTTCGCTTCAAGTCGTGAGTGAAGAGGCAGATAAATTCGTGGACGGGCGCGGTCGTCGTAGCTTGGCGAGCATGCGGTCTTTGGGCGACCCGGGTCTGGAGGCTCGACGCCATGGCGACATGTATTATGCTTGGGCCTCGAGCCGCGGCTTCGTTTGGGGTACGATCGATAATCGCAATTTGAGTCTGAGTATGTCGATAGTGGGATGGTGGGATGGCAAGAGAGACACTGGAGTCAACGCGCCCTACACGCGACGTGCCTGGGCGCTGCTACGCCAATTCACGTGACTTTGATTACACCGTTAGAGGGTCCGTCATCAGCCGACCCACACCACATATGATGTAATGCCTTCCATTCTCAATGGAATGTACCTTCCACGGTTGTCAAACGGCCGAGGATGGGCGGCTCACATGCGCACATTCCTTGTGCGAGTAATCATGGTTGACGGAGGTCATACTGAGGCATAAATATCTACACACTTTCTATTTTATCTCTCGTGGAATATCATGCTTGATTCGTCTAGTAGGCCTTTTGATGATCAGGCCATGCAAGTACAAACCTTGCCCAGTGCCAAATGATGGTCCGTCCAAATATGAGATGCTACCAAACGCCCTGGCCATGCTCCCTTGCTCTCTAACTCCAGGCTAAAGCCATGCTCAAATAAATCAGATAGATTGCCTCCAAACAAATAAAATGTGAAAAGCCATAAAAGGATTGCCCCAACACTTGAGGGAAGAGCATAATGTACAACTCTGCCCTCCAACTGTCCGCACCTTGATGCAGGAGTAGAATACCCAGTACCTGAAAGAAATATTCAAGTGGCCGATTTGTTCATTATTTCTGCGTACGGTTATCCCCTTGGCTCATCTCGAAATAGCCATTACCGCCTCGTGCAGATTCGAGATCCATGGGCGTAACTGGGCCGGGACTGCCTAACGGGTGCAACTTCGGGGCGGAGGGGTTGTGAAATGGAGGGCCAAAGCTGAGGGCTTTTCCTGGTAGACTTCCCAGTTTCGGAGGCCCGGATCTGCCGTGCCCGCTCGAGGATAGAAGCTCATTCGCAGCCAAAGAAGCCTGAGCAATCATATCGCGCTGATACTGTTGGAGCTGAAGTTTGCGACGAACATCAGGGTCGTGGGCCGAGTTCGATGTTGGTGGACTGTTGATGAAGGGTTCGATTTGGTCTCTGGGCTTGGAAGAGGAGGACGAAACCGTGGCAGACCTGGTCCTGCTCACGTGGGCCTTCTGTTGGTTTTCGTAGTTTGACGGGTAATACTTCCCCATGGGAAGTGGTGTGTCATGACATCCCGTGGGTAAATAGGATGCAACCGGGATACTGTTGCGCGTTGACATGCTGGAAGACATTTTTTTGGTCGCACTACTCCCTTCGGGGCGGGTTGAGAAGTCGGCAAGGGTCAGGTCTCGTACGCTCTGGCGATCTTGGCTGTGAAATGGATGAGGACGATGAACTCTCGTCTTGGGATCCTCATGCATAGGGAAGTATCCTCTGTTGATTAATTGTAAGAAAATGCTAAATGAGTCCAAGACAAACATGGCAAAATCTGCCAGAGATAAGAACCTACCCAGGCAAATCACCTCGCGCAGAAAGTGGCTCAGGTGGGGTGTAAACCGACGTCGAAGTAATCCGTTTGATACGAGGTATGTCGATAGCAATAGGCCCACTTGCTGTGTCGGTAGCTTTTAGACCGCAAAAAAAAAGTGTCAGTGCAGATCAAAGAATGAGCATTGATAACGCCTAGGGGTAGGTGTTCTTATATCTTAGCTGGCAGAGGGGCCAAGACGAAGCAAAGGGCTAGTGCAATGAAATCATGCAGACGGAGGGGGGGATGCCAGCATCTAATAGGCTGAGAAACACGATCATCACCCTAGGTGATATGACATGTGGTGGCCAGCCAGAAGAAGAGGGTTACCCCACGATGATCGTGTCAGGAATTGCGGGGACAGAGAGGCAAGTGGCGTAATGCCGTCGGTTGGCTTGGCCTAGCCCCTCTAAATCCCTCCTCCCTTCCCGCTTGCGTTGCAACGCAACGGGTAGCAGGAGATACACACATGAGTAGTGTGCCATCCCTGGCCCTTTCCTAAGGGTGGGGGAAGAGAACCCTCCTAGCGGATTGCGCGGCTGGCTCTTCCATCAAGGTTGTTCACGTACCGTTTGTAGCACAGTGAGGTAGTGCATGGGAAAACTAGAACGAAAACGAAAGGGAGTGATGAATAGGGGAGGGGGGAACGAAAGGAAACATCGGGCCACTCACAACGAGTTGACACTTGGTCGCTAGTACTTGAGTCGGCTGTCGGAGCCAATCTAGTTGACATGGTGCCCGGAGCGCTACCCACCGTGTGGGAAATCGGAGGCGTACCATACCGGCGATAAGGTTGATTTGGAAGCCATGTTGGAGTAGTTTGGCCGGATATTGTTGCGTGCTCGCCACCGTCATCAGACTTCTCGGATGATGCAGATATAGTGCGACCGGGCATGGTAGGACGCCGATATGAAGAGAGGTAAGAATGAGGCTTGAAAGAACGTGAGAAGCCCGACATTGTCGCTGTCAAAGGTAGGAGAAAATGCTCTCCAACGGTCTGCCTGTTGCGAATGAGTAGTAATGTGCAAGAAGCGTGAATTTGGCAGCTATAAGTTAAGAGACACAGGATCCTAAAGTATATCCTGACAGCTCTCTTCGAAAACGCCTTTAACTTGATTGTTGCCCAGGGGACTGGCCTTCCTGGGGCGAATGATGGGTAAATTTGCCCGTCGAGCTGTGGTGATATCTTCCCGGCATGCACACAGCCGGTTGTTGAAACGATGTGCTTGGATAGGTAGGGGTGAGACGGCAACCGTGCCCGGGAGACTGCAGCCTCTGTGAGGGCTGCTCCGCAAACACTGGGATCCTTGATCGACTGACGATACCCTTTCGCGACTTGAAAGGTATAGATGGTCAATGTGATGCACCTGGCTGTCACAAATGGGGCAATCCGAGACGGGCCACTTAACGTCCTACCCACAGCATATCAGGGTCTGCCTGTGTGCAGCTAGCCGGGCGTAGGAAACGAATACGGTAATGAATGCAATTATGAGGCGAGGTGAATCTCTTCTCGTGAGTAGGAATCCATCAGCCGCTCAAAAGTCGTGTAATGTATCTGGGGTGGATGGTGGGAGGCAGAAGAGGGTGGGTGAGACTGCACGCTCCTTGGGAAGAAAGGCTGTCCTCCTTCTAATCCCCGTGTATTGTAGTACGCTGCCAAAATGAGACCGAGATGTCGGAGATTTCGAGGAAAGAGGTAGAAGAGCACCGGGGGACAGGGAATATGGTGCAAGGAGAAGGTTTGGTAATAATGCAGCGTGAGTGAGCGGACGTGAAGGAAGAAAAAAAAAGAGGAAGGCGCTTGGGAAGAAGAATAAGCTGGGTGTGATCAGGTTCGTTGTTGGGAAGGACAAGGAGCGGAAACAAGCGTGAAGTAGGACCCTTGCCAGGGACAGGACCTGGCTGTGTGGTACCGTAGGTAATAAGGCAAGCTGTGCAAGCGCTCCGGACATGGACTCGTACGAGAGAGATGCTAGGCCCGATGCCCCGTTATCTTATTCAATGGGTGGTGGGTAGTGTCCCGACGAAGGCGCAAAGAGACAAGACTGTCCCATCGGTTTCGATGCCCTGTTGCGGATCCTTGTCCTGATGGATTGATTTCCAGAAATATGTAACGTATTTTGTATGCCAGGCATACGGAAGGCTGCCTCTGGCCTGTTGCCTGGGAGGCCATGGCCTGACGTAGCCGGCGGGACTACGTTTCTCGTCCTATCCACAGCGGTGTAAGGCGAGCTGTGCAATCAAGGGCACGACGCACATATGCACGCAGCACGCAACACCCATCTGCGATTCCTCAAGCTGAAGGGAGTGGGAGACAAATGGGAGCGGGCGGGGCAAGTGCATGGTGCATGGTGCGGCGGAGTGGGGAGGCAGCACCGTGTCGATGATGCACTGTCTGCCTTCCTCAGTCCTAAATATCAACAGTGGGCTGCCGCAACAACTGGCATCCAGCGCCAGCGCCCACAAAGCGCCGTCACAGCCCAAGTAGATGCGTAACGCGCCGGAGAATTCTCGAGAGTCGGGATACAAGCACCTTCTAGTACGAACTTACTAGGGCAGTGCTTTGTGAGGTCATGTGGTGTCTAGCGTGTGCGGTCAGAGCTGACAGCCGCGCACCTTCCAGGCGTTCTAACAGCGCCTGCCTCTTATCATGCGGAAGGGTACCCACCTTCAGGTATCGATCAAATCGGGTACACTTCTTCTAGCAAGATGCACAGCCAAGCAACCTAAGATTCGGTCGACAGGCGGTATGATACCACATGGAACCTGGTCCAATGTACTGGCTCAACTTCTCCCCTGATGAGATCACAGTTCCAGCGCCAAAGCAGGTACAAACTCTGTCCTGTTATCCCCTTGATTAATGAGAGCTGGCGCCGCCACTTCCGCGGAAGTTATTTTTGGTTGGGCTGGCGTGGACACGGCCGCCTCGGGAGCCATTTCAGCGAGCCCACCACTAATTAATACACACAGGGCGGGCCAGGCTGGTAAGATGAACAAGGAGGTCTCGGCCCCCCCCTGAACGCGGCCCCCCTGCTTAGTATATAGATTCTCATACTCTTATTAGCTGAAAAAAAGAAAGGCCTACTTTATTATATACTATCTTCTGTATTTCTTATTAGCTAATACCTATAACCCTTATATTTCTACTACCTGTATATTGTTTTATATACTAGTATAGGGATTATCCTGTATAACTTTAGAATATCTTCCTTCCTGGATTCTAGCTTATTATTAGAAAAAAAGTTCTCCTCTGGAACTAGTAGATTATTCTCCTATATCTTAAATATATTAGTAATAGTTAAAAATACTAAATTAGGGTTAATTAGCTCTACCTACTTATACTTATCTAGCTATAGCTTAGTTAACTAATTATATAATATCTAATTCTTATTCTCTAAGCTAGCTAATCGGAAGGAATAGTTATTAATTAACTTCCCTACTTTTTAAAAAAACTATCTTTTAATTAGATTATTTAAATTAATCTTAAGTAAGTTATATACTATAAGTATAACCTCAGCTAATTATTATAGTATATATAAGTAAGTAAGAAAGCTATAAAGTATAATTAGCTACTTAGTAGGTAGCTTAGATAGTAATATAGGTTTAAGCTAATCTTTACTTTCCTTTTTAAGTAGGAAGTATAATAAAAACAGCTTAATAATATCTAGTAGCTATAGGCCTATTATAGCCTAGCCTGTAGTAATATTCTTATATATTATTACTAATTCTTATACTAAATAATAGTTAAAAAGAAAATTAATCTTCCTAATTAGGCTTAGCTTATCTAAATTAAGTAAAAGGTATAAGTTTTTATAATAATAGTACTTTAAAGGGCTAAAAATACTAATATTAAGTAGCTAGAGTATATATAAAGAGTAGGCTAGTAGATATCTGGTTTAGATATTAGCTTTAAGGCAGGCCTATATAAAGTCTATAATTATATAAGAGCTATACCTATCTAGAACTAGTAGGTACTAATCTTTCGGGTTAATAGGAGCAGTTTCTAGAATAAAAATCTACTCTAGCTAATAAAGTATAATCTTATTATTAATCTATCTATTTTTAGAAGTTTAGAACTTCTAATTACTAAATTAGAATAATTTAATACTAAACTATTAGTTCTAAACCTACTTCCCTTTAAAGATAATAAGGGGGGAAATAAATTATCTATTTACTAATATAGTCTTAATAATTAAGATATTAGCCTAGCTGCTCAGTATATACTATAGTATTAAGTACTTCTCTAATTAGCTGAGAACTAAGCTATTAGATCTATATCCTTTAAGAATACTATATTTATCTATATTCTAGTAATTTAATTAATTAATCTCTTAGATAAGTAGATCCTCTAATTACTTAAAGAAGTAATTAATAGCTTTAATAATTATAGACTTTATCTACTTTAAGTCTAGTAGCCGGCCTTATAATATATAAACCTGCAGGTTCTAGATTAGGAAGCTCTTTATCTAGCTTTATCTAAAGGGGTTATTATCCCCTTAGACCTATAAAATTCACTTAATAAAGCTTCTGATTTACTAATATATTAGAGCTAGGCTGAGAATATCTTAGTAGTAGATCTAGATATTTATCTGAAGCTCCTGATTAGATAAAATATACTAATAAAGCTCTAATCCAGCTCTATAGTCTCAGCTATATTAAACCTATTACTAAAGTATTATAAATAAAGACCTCTGTTAGGCTATATAAAGTTATATATAATATAGAGCCTTAAGAAAGTTATAATTAATAAACTATAATCTATTA